TTTTCAGACAAGGTTTACAGAGGCCTAAGTCAGGTTCACGCCTTGGGCAAACCCCTCCTTTAAAGCACCTCTGATGTTCACAAACTGGTGTAAGGATAATTACAGCCAACCCTTTCCTAGGAGGAAACAGAGGATGCTGCCCGGCTGTTGCCTTCCCTTAGCTAAATTGGGATGAGGCTCAGTTTGGGGGTGTCCCACACCTTGGCCTGGGGGAGCACGAAATGGTATCCTCTGCACACTGTGTCGCCAAAAGGGAAACGTAAGTGAAGGGCAGAGCTGTGTATGTTCCAGTGGAAAGAGAAGTTCCAAAGATAGGACCGGCCATGAATAGCCCACGGCCCTGTAAAAACAGTTGCTCAAGTCTCTCTGAAGCAGACGGCCTGGCACAGCGTAGTGCACCCTGTATAATTTCCCCAGGGCTGGGTATTATTGTCTTCGCGCGGAATTATAGCTGCCTAGGTGAGGTCCGCCCTCCCACCAGCCACTCCCTCCCAGAAGGATTTTTTCTCTGGTACGAGACCTTCCTCTAGCCTCCATTTGGAAAATACAAGAGTTTACCTTTCAGCAACCTCCAACTCCAAAGATCACAAGTGAGCTTACAGCTCCTCCAGCCAGGATTTAGTGAGCAGCTACTTCGTGCCAGATATGGTTTTGGCCCTAGGGATCGAGACTAGGACGGAGCTCTGTTCTCCAGAGCTTATATTCTATGCGGGGAAACAGATAAAAATAAAGTGGATGGAAGAGTCCGAAGAGGGAAAGGGGCGGGGGAGGCATAGCTGGCGGGCAGGCGGAGCCCCCACCAGCAGATCTAATGCAGTTAAAGTCCAAGGAGACGCCAAACACTCACTCGATCATTGGTGTTGGCCAAGTTCAACACAGGGCCCCCCAAACCAGCTTATGCCTCAGGGCTCACAACAGTCCTCCACTGCCCCACACTACTCAGGAGCCCTCCGCTCAGGCCTGCTACACGCAGCATCCTCTCCACGGAGGATAACTGACGCCTCTTCCAGACAATCCCAATGATGGGGGTCCCCGGGGTGTCCAACACTTTGCGCACAGGGTGTAAGAGCAGGCGGCCACCAGAGGGAGACCATTGCCGCACAGGGGAGTCCTCCCCTGTACTCCCAGTACTGATTAGTGTCCCTCCTGATACCCAGGGCCAGCTTCTTCGGAGGCCGTGTGCATTCCTCCCATGCACAGCCCTATACGAAAGCACAGCCCAGCCAGGGGAAGGCGCCTTGCTTCCAGCCTTCTACCCTAGGTCTCATGAGCTGAGCAGGGGGCGGGCAGGAGGTGGCCTGCCCTGCAGGGACATCCCTTTCTGCTCCCCACTCCTGCTACCCGTGGGTGCGGGGTCTCCTTCTTGCAGCCTGCTCAGCCATTGCTTTGGGACTCGGCACCAGCTAAGCCACTGTCTCTCCTTCCCGGGATCCTCCAGCCTCGCGGGCACACGCACACTCCCAGCTCCCCCCTGCTCTCCTGGGCAACTTCAAATACCAGGCCCAGGCATTCCAGCAAGTCCCAGCTCGCACTCCTCCCCACCCTGCCTGAGCCGTTCTGCTGGGTCTTACCTCCTCCTGCCGGGATCCAGAGCCAGGCGCTTCCCAAAACCAAGAGTAGAACCGGCACCTTCCACATCTTCTTGGTTGACTGGTCCTCTTTGGGGCCCGTGCACCTGGTGTCTGTGCCAGGGGAAGATTAAAAAGCTCTGCAGCCAGAGGCCCTCGCCCAGTGGAACCAGAGAGTAGGGGCTGGAAGGCGGGGAGCAAAAGCCTCAGCGCGGGAGGGGTCCCCGAGCTTCCTTCCCCCACGGCAGCGGCAGCGGAGGAGCAAACTTGGCAGTTGGAAACTTTGCAGAGAGTGAGAGCGGAGTCAGCATTTATCTCTCCCGAGGAGGGCGGGGAGCAGCTGGCCCTAAGGTGGTCCCAGTCCAGGGCTCACTAGGACCGCCCTCTGCCTCTGTTTGGCTAGCACGAAAGCGATGACCTCAGGCCAGGTTTAAAGTTACAGGGCTGCAGCTGTGGGGGGCTGCCAGGGCTTGTGGAGGGCCCTGAGCCCCAACAGGAGGGAAAGGGGATGCAGGCAGTGAGCAATTTAGTTTTTAAAACATTTTATTTTATTATTGTGGGTTTTTTTTGGTTTTTGGTTTTTTGTTTGTTTGTTTGTTTTGCTTTGTTTTGTTTTCGGAGTAAGGCACAAGCCTACGTTTTTCTTGTTAGGAGGAGTAAACTCTTCCTTGTGTGGCCAATAATTTAAAACCAAGCATGGGATTGTTCTTGCAAATATTGAATTTGACGGCTTTCTTCAAAAGTGGCCGTCCTCATCTGGGTGGGCCCGGAGGCGGATCGGGCTGGTGGATCGTGCCTTGTCTGGGGGACCTGAGCAGGTGGGCTCTGGGGTCCTGGCTGCCTGAGAGAGATGGTGGGGACTTTCGGGGACTCCCTGGCTCTGGCAGTTTTAGAAAAAAGGCTGAGTTTGAGGTCTGCTTCTCCTCCCTTTGGATGTAGCGCTGTGGTGCTGGACGGACGGACAGATGGACGGCCGTGTGCCGTGAGTGAGGTGTCGTAGCCCAGGAATGTCAAAGGCCCCACCTGGTCACCAAATCTGTGTCCACTTCCAGCCCACACTCATCCTTTTTAATCCTGGAATTTGGACTCATGATCCCTGCTTTACTGGTTTAAGCCGTTTCTCAGGTACTGGATGTTGGCAATAGGCAAACTTGGTGTGTGTGTGTGTGTGTGTGTGTGTGTGTGTGTGTATGTTACTTTTTTTCCTTCTGAACCGTAGACGAATGCCCCAAAGCTCCTGACTGGTATGAAAGTTGGTTATTTTCAGATCCTCATCCCCAGACCCTGATTCCGAATTTATTTTGTCATAAGAATCACAAGGGGGAGGTTGCTTTAAAAGCTCAGATTCCTGGGCTCCACCCCCCAACTCCTTAAATCAGACCCTTTGGGAATTCACTTGTTAAACCAGTGTAGAACTTTGTCCAGAGGCCTCGCTTCTCAAACACCAAGGTGAGACGCCTCAGTGCTGTTAGATGCAGGTGGGCTTCTGAGGGTCTGGGGTGGGGGAGATTCCACATTTCTAAAGGTCTAGGCAATGTCTTATCCTGGGGCTACAAGATAGGAGCTGAAACCTGACCTAAAGAGAGGGAAGGGACCCTGGGTCAAGGGGTTGAAAAGGTAAAGATAAAAGGGATAGAGAAGATAACCTGACTGCCTCTCCCATCTTGTTAATAGATTATTATTACCACATTACCAGGAATGTTTGTTCACAGACTGAATGATACATGTATCATCTGTTGAGCCTGTTAGATGGAGAAAAGATGCAAATCCACTCTAAAGAGAGAGAAAGAAAGGGAGGAAGAGCCCATCTTCACTTGGGAACAGGGGTGAAATGAAGCCTGTGTGGTGGGGATGGGTTAAATTCAGCTAGTTTGGGGGCGCCTGGGTGGCGCAGTCGGTTAAGCGTCCGACTTCAGCCAGGTCACGATCTCGCGGTCCGCGAGTTCGAGCCCCGCGTCGGGCTCTGGGCTGGTGGCTCGGAGCCTGGAGCCTGTTTCCGATTCTGTGTCTCCCTCTCTCTCTGCCCCTCCCCCGTTCATGCTCTGTCTCTCTCTGTCCCAAAAATAAATAAACATTGAAAAAAAAAAAATTAAATTCAGCTAGTTTGGAGGGGGGCTGGGGCTAGGTTACTACTCAAGGAGATGCCCCTCTCCCCACCCCCACTGCCAACCCTCTCCCCAGGGATGCGTCTAGATTCTACAAGTTTGGTCACCCATGGATGGTGGATGATGGAGGAGGGAGACGTGATAGAGAGTTGCATCCTGTTGGAGGCCATCCTGGGGCCGGGGAGAGGGGGAGGACCAGGGGAGTCTATGGACATGGTCTAGGTGCTGTTGGTTTGAGTAACTGGGAAGAGTGGGCTACAGAAGCTGGTGAGGGACCTTCCTCAAAATGCAGACAGCGCAGGAGAGACAGGAGACGCTGTCTCGGACACAGGGGTAGGAGGCAGAGGTCATCTGAGTGACTCAAGGTTGGGCCAAGAAGCTGCAGTGAAGCATAATGGACCTGGCAGCCTGAGACCAGCCCAGATGAGGGGAAGAAGGAAACAAGTAGAATACATGCCGGAAGATGCCTCCAGTCTTTGAAATAGCTTGTGCTCCAAAAACAGTGACTGGTAAGATAATAGTGACATTTTCTCTGTTCACCAGGAACCAGAGCCCTGTGTCACTTGATCTTCAAAATACCCCTTGGGTTGAGAACACTGATAATACCCATTTTGTATATAAGGAACATGTTTCCAAAGGGGTTTCCAGAACAAATGTGCATCAAATTTGTGTGAGGACTGGCTGGTTAGAATTAAGACACTGAGGGGCGGGGCGCCTGGGTGGCTCAGGCGGTTAAGTGGCCAACTTTGGCTCAGGTCATGATCTCACAGTTCTTTAAGTTCGAGCCCTGTGTTGGGCTCTGTGCTGACAGCTCAGAGCCTGGAGCCTGCTTCGGATTCTGTGTCTCCCTCCCTCTCTCTCTACTCCTCCCCAACTCGTGCTCTGTCGGTCTCTCTCTCTCACAAATAAATAAGCATTAAAAAAATTAAAAGAAAAAAGACACTGAAGGGCTCCTGGCTGGTTCAGTGGATGCGTTGGTGGAGTGTGTGACTCTTGATGTTGGGGTCCTGAGTTCGAGCTCTACACTGGGTGTAGAGCTTTCTTAAAAATAATTAAGGGGTACCTGGGTGGCCCAGTCTGTTGAGCATCCGACTTCAGCTTAGGTCATGATCTCATGGTTCGTGGGTTTGAGCCCCACATCAGGCTCAGTGCTGACAGCTCAGAGCCTGGAGCCTGCTTCGCATTCTGTGTCTCCCTCTCTCCGCCTCTCCCTGCTCACACTCCGTCTCTATCTCTGTCAAAGAATGAATAAACATTAAAACATTTTTAAAAAAATTAAAGGTTCAGTTACTGATCTGGGCCCCACTCCCCAATTTCTCACTGTAGGTCAAGAGTGGGGCCCAATAATTTGCATCTCTAACAAATTCCCAGGTGACACTGCTGGCCCTGGGGCCCCTGGTTTGAGAACCACAGATTTAGAGAAAACACAAACAGTCCAGGGGCACCTGAAATGAGTGGGGGAACCGCTGTCCCTCTATTGCAGGACTTGAGCCTCTTGATAGTGCTGTCTTGCTTAAGGCTCTAGAAGGAGAGGTCTGTATGTTGCTTTTAAGGAGCACAAAGCCCCCCGCCCAAGGGTGGGGTACCACAATGCACAAGGAGAAGATGCAAGGTGAGAGCACCTGCCATGGGACCCTGAACCATGAGGTTGCTGGAGAGAAACTGTCAGGATCTCTCCTGCTCCCTGCATGCTCTGAGGCCTGTCCAGAGCCCCGGAGCTTCCCCCATGCTGCCTGGGAAGACCTCTCAAGCGTCTTCTCTTGCTTCTCAACACGCACTGCTCCGGGGCCAGGATACCACCTGAAATGGTAGCCGATGTCAAAGGCACCTCTGTGACGCAGGAATAAATCACGCATTTAGGTGTACGAGCAAAATGTATTTAGCAGCAAGGGGATGAGGTTGGGGGTGGGGAAGGCGGGTCGGGAGTGGTGTGGGACTGAAGGAGGGCACAGTAGCTTGGTTTGCTGGAAAGAGCCTCAGTGTTTTCGAATCAAACTTCAGCTCCATGGTGGCCTCTGGCCACACAAGTCTCAGTTTCTGCTTCTTTAAAATGGGCGTGTTATTCCTATTTTGGAAGGGTCTATGCACAGCCACGAGTGTGCCTGCTTTGATCGCCACGATGGCTGTTTCTGCCAGGCCCTGCCTGGTTCTCAGCCTCTTGAGTCCTCCAGTGCCCACCTGTGCCCACCAGCCAGCCCCTATGTCAGAGGTACTTGACATGGGCCCGATGGAACCGGTTCCTTTCCACCTTAGGACACCCAGCTGGATCAGTACATGGGGACCTGGCATCAGCTTGTTCTCTGTTAGGGCCAACCCTCACCTTGGGCCTTATTCCTAAAAGCTCTCCTGGATCCCTGTCCAGCTCCCTGGGCCCGAGGACCCCTCTGGGAAGTCAGATTATCCCCTCATTTCTACCCAGGAACTAGTGTTCTACACCAGGATCCTACCTGGAGGCTGGATCCTGCCATTCCACACATGGTGGGAAGCTGGCTTGGATTCCTAGTTGCCAGAGCACCACCCTGCGCTCCCAGGAGCCTCCCCAATGCTGACCGCCCCTTCCTATTGTCAGAATCAAACTCATGCCCTATTTTAGTGGCGGGCATACCATTTTGCTTGCAGACCTTCAAAAGAATTTTGAGAAACTAGATACAATCATTTTTTTTAATGTTTCCTATTTATTTTTGAGAGAAAGAGAGAGTGTGAGCAGAGGAGGGGCAGAGAGAGAGAGACAGAGAGAGACAGAGAGAGAGAATCCCAAGCAGGCTCTGCACTGGGAGCCTGGGCTCGATCCCACCCACGGTGAGATCAGGACCTGAGCTGAATTCAAGAGTCAGGCACTTAACTGACTGAACCACCCAGATGCCCCATATACCCAATCATGTTTAACCACAGAATTAAATAAGTATACGTTTAGTGGGAGGTAGTCTATATTAAACACTTGATAAAAAGAAATAAGGTGAAGACT